TGGCCTCTGAGGTTAACGATTAAGCAGTGCTGGAAACAATAATGAGGTAGAAGAAACAGGCTGTGCAAAACACTAGGGTCCGCCTCCCAGCTTCTTGCCACCAGCAAGGACTAGGGTCCTTTCAGCTGGAAGAAGGGGTCTGAGCAGTCAGCTTCTATAGGTGGCACTGCCCTCCTCCACTAAACAATAACACCTGTAATGGCAAAAGTCTGAGGGCATCCTGAGAAGGAACCTGGATCCAGAGGAAGGAGGGATTGCTGCAGCAGCAAGAAACAGAGCTGCTCCACACAGGAAACCGAACAGGCTTTTGAATGAAGGGCAGAGATGCTCCAACCTCCACGAAGTCTGTTCTCACCAGGGAGGCTGGAGACTTAACAGAAAGAAAGAGCTAGACTTAAAAATAAGCACCTTCTAACCAAGGGAGAAATCTGGCAATGTTTTGTTTTTGTTTTGTTTTGTTAATTTTTTGTTTTTGGTGCTGGGGATCAAACCCAGGACATGCTAGGCAAGGGGGATCTCCCACCAAGCTATAGCCTCAGTCCTAGCAAAACTTTTACATACACATTCTCCTCAGTCTGACAATTATACTACAAAGGTTATATCCTTTAGGTATACTTGCAAGTATACTCCAAAATATTGTGGATAATCTCACTTAGTCACTTGCTATAAAAGAAAAAACTGGAAACATTAATATCCACCAAGCAAGGGCTAGTGAAATAAATTATAATTTATCCATATGACACAAAAGACAAAAAGAGTGAGATAGCCACAAGATTTTGTGTTAAGTCAAACAGAAGTATAATGAATAGAGAATGCTTCTACTTGTGTCAGTTAAAAATCATAATATAGCTAGGCACTTGGGAGGCTGAGGCTGGAGGATTGCTGTGAGCTCGAGGCCTGCCTGGGCTACAAAGTGAGTTCAAAACCAGCCTGAACTGCACAGTGAAACCCTGTCTCAAAAAGGCAAAAAAAAAAAAAATCATAACATATAAATTCTATAGGGATAGCAAATACACTTGTACTGTTTGCATGATGAGTGCAAGCTGCTTTTATTGAATATATTCTCTGAAGTCTTAAAACACCAGTATAAATATATATCTACTGTACAGGAAAATGTTCAGAATATAGTACTAAGGATTTTTTAAGGGGTTGGGGATTTAGCTCAGCAGCATAGGGCCTGCCTGGCAAGTGCAAGGTTGTGAGTTCAATTCCCAGTACCAGAAAAAAAACAAAAAAAAAGGATTTTTTAAGCTGGAAACTATGTATGCATGATATGCATGTGAAAAAGATCTGAAGGACCCAGAAGAATATATACAAAGGTGCTGCCTGTGGTTCTCTCTGGGTAGGAGTGTGGTGTTTTCCATGTTTTTGTTCCCTGTCTGCTTCTTCTGTAATGATCAGGGATGGGTTTTGTACTAAAGTAGCAATAATAATACATTATAAAAAGAAAACTTTATTGGACAAGGAAAAAGGACAGGGTTCAGAGGCAAAGCTGGGAGTATAGACAAGGGAAAGCAGTGCCCAGCTGACCAGAGAATGAGGAGGGTGGGGGAGGCAGCTTGGAGCATACCTGTCTGCATGGGTGGATAGAGAGAAATCAAGGCAAAAGCCCTGGAAATGGCTCTCCTTCCTCAGACTATATGTGGTTCTCACTCAAAGATTTATAGTAACCCAAGGATCCTGGTCTTTCCAACATGGACCCAGTGCAGCTGATGAGGCATATACCCTGGGAATATCTAATTCTACAGAACACTCTCCTTCCTGCCCCACCCACCCCCAAACCATGCTGGAAACAGAGAAGGATGTACTATAACCATCACAAAGGAGAGAACAGGCTCAGGGTCACTCTGGCCCAAAGTGTTGGCTGGTCTGATTCCGGTTCTGATAATTTCTAGGTTTAAAACACCTTCTAATGCTGGGCATACACCCAGGGAGTCCTTTAATCACAGGACCAACACTGTCCCTTGCATGTGACCCGAGGGGAAATACACACTCCCACACACATGGTGTCACTAAGTGCCAAATCTGTCTCAAGAAGTAGTGACGGCAGAGAGCACCAAGTCCCATCTAAAGTCAGCAGTGAAAAACCAAGGAAACACAGCAGACCCACCTCAGTGCACAGGGGTAAGCAAACATAGTCATTCTCCACTTCCTTCTCTAGCACCACACAGTTTTACCTTCACTTCTTCTAATGTCTTTCCTCATGGTCTTATCAACTTGTGCATTCTCATCCCACCTTAAAAATATGAAGTCCCTGTTGTGCACAGCAACGGGCTGCAAAGCAAACAATCTAGGAGATAGGCACAGGCTCCACAGAAGGCTCACATCATAGAGAGGAGGCTTCCAGCATGAAGATCATGCCATGAGCCAGAGAAAGCAGGACGGCTCACTCATGCAGTGAGAAACAGGCTCGTGTGTCCAGGAGGAAGCAGCCCAACTGGAAAGAGGAGGAGACACCCACACAGTGCTTCCTTGCCCCAAGATGACTACATACTCTGTGTCTAGCCGACAGCTGTGTGTCTGTCTATACTGTCTGTGATTGGGATTTGGCGACTACATGCAAAAGCTTACAGGAAAACACTTTCAATGGAAAATGCCAACTCTAGCCAGCCACACTCCTCACTTATTGGCTCACAGGGCTACACTATGTTCAAACTGGGCCTGGAACCTACAGAGGGCAATAGTTAGAAACACTGCCTCTGGACTCAGCATTATTTGGGTTTGAATTCTGCTTCTGTCCCTACTAACTCTATGACCTCAAATTATTTCACTTCTGTGTGCCTTGGGTTTTTCCAGCTGTTGTATGCATTACATGAGATCATGCCCAGAAGATGCTTAGCATGGGGTATGACCCAAAGTAAGAGCTTATTAAATGCTAAGATAATTAATCAGAGGATCCATATACACACGTGCACACACACACACACACACACACACACACACACACCATAATGCTGCCAGAACCCAGTATCTATGATGGCATCAAGACTGGGGACACCAAGATGGATGTAGTCCCAAATGCATCATCTCCAGTTACGCACACAGACAGGGAGGCACCTCACCATTAGATAGAGAAAGGAGCAAGGGGGTAAAACACAGATGTTGAAAGAGGGGAAAGGCCAGGCTAGGAGGTCTGGTAGCCTGTGTTAAAGGTAAGGGTTCAGCACATTCCCCAAACCTCAGTCTATGTCAGCCCACCACAAAAAAATGGGATATATACTGTATGTATACGTGTGCACACACATGGTAGGCAGAAACAGAGGGCTAATGAGGGAGACAAGGAAGGAGGAAATAGAGAACTAGCATCTAAGCCTTCTCCTCTTGCCACTCCACCAGCAAACACTTGTAACAGGAATTTGTACCACAGATGCTGGTGTTAGCCAAGCTCTCAGCTTGTGCCAAAGCAAAGCCTGAGCACATCCCTCAAGAAAGTGGCCTCTTCACAAGCTAGGCCAAAGAACTCTCACATGGGAGAGGAAGGGTTCCCTTTACCAAATGCAAATGGTAGGGAACATGCACGCAAAGCACAAGAGGGAGCACACACACAGGAGAGTCAAGGTTCAGAGCTAGGACAAATCAGCAGGCTCTAAGACTGGGGCTACTGAAACATGTCCTTCACAAATGCCATCATCACCCAGACCATCTTAACAACTGGTCACATGTGTGTCCTCACTGACAAAGCTCAAGAAGAAATGAGAATCTCTGCAGGCTCTTAAGGTCAGGGGCTTGATGAGAGAACAAAAGATACCAAGAGACAGAGCAAATCCTTGCTGCCTGGTGGACCAAGGGGCTAGTGTAACACAGACAGCAGCAGGTGGGCAGCCACCAGGTCCTCAGCTCATTTCTGCACACGAGCTAGACAGGAGACAGAATAGAACAACAGTGTAACAGTGCTTGTTTGGAAGGGAAAATGAGGGGTCTAGAGGTGGAGGTGTGGTTTTTCTGTGGTGCTGGGGATCAAACCCAGGGCCTTGTGCATGCAAGCCAGGAGTTCTACCACTGAGCCACATCCCCAGGCCTTTGTTTTGTTTTTGCAAAGAAGGAGGTAGCCACAAGGGAATCTATCAATTAAAATGACCAGAACCATTTCCTAGGTCACTGATGATCTTTCCTTCCAGCTGAAATAAATGTAAACAAAGATTTTTGTCCTGCTAAACATGATGGGGTGAATATTTGTGTTCATCTCTACTCCCTCCCAAGGCTCCATTAAAATAATGTGCCAGGGAGACTATATTCCAGAAAAATAAAATGGAATCAAGGCATTATCAGATGGAAAAGTATTGTTCAACTATATCTGACAAGAATTAGTGGCAATAGCATTTAACAGTAGTGATGCTGTACATGACTAACCTCTGTTGTGAGGTTGACAGTAGGACAAAAAAGATTAGGTGAGAGTGTGTGTACATAGGGAAAGCATGTGACAGTCCAGTCACACTTTTCTGGAGTAGCCAGCCGCTCAGATCCAAAACCAATGCATCAAAAATTAACACTAGGTATAAATTACTTAGACAAATGGTAAAGAAGCTTTCAGATGAATCAGAACTTACATTGTAATTCTTTTAGGATTGAAAGGTGTGGCTCTAGAAAGCAATACTTGGTGTAGAAAGAAAGACAAGAGGGTAATAGTTTATCATGAGAAACCTGGTAATAGTATTTGACTTTTACTATGTTTATAGAACACTTTGACCAAAAAGTGTTTTAAACAACAACAACAAAGATCTATTTCAACACCTAACTCGACCTGCTCCTCTACTCCTCAAGACTTCTCAGATCTCCTTTCTCTACTGTCTGTACTATTCATCCAGAAATTAATCATGTTCTACTTGGCAATGAACTGAACTTGTCTGATGTTAATTATCTTTATACCTGTGCCTTGTCTCGCTAAGTTACAGCTACTTCACAGCAGAGACCACTTTTCATAATCAGTGAGGAGTCCACAGCAGACCTGGTGATTATCTTTACAAGTTCAGTACAGGAACAGCAGCCTCGTCCCCCATTACCTGCATAGGCATTGGCCTGCTGCAGAAGGTCTGTGCAGGTATGCACATCTGCAAATGCGCGGATGCCCAGGCAATTGGTGGGATGTAACTGAGACTGCAAGAAGTCACAGCAGTTCTGCCTGACGTCCATGAGTTGTAGCAAGCTGGCCGCTGGGAGCAGCACCTGCAAGAGAAGATGACATTCTGAAACACTGGATTCCACTGACAGGGACTCTTCCCTTTCACACACTGTTCCAATCATGTTCCCAAGCTCATGATCAATTCTTGGATCTCTACTGCCTACCCAGTAAACTCAAACTTCCCAGCTTGGTTTCTAGCCTTATTTCCCACTATTCTCAGCTTCATGGACATAAGCACCAGCAGATTCTTCGTATCCCTACAGCAGTGGTTCACATAGGTGCTTCCCCAGATCGCAGAGGACCTTATTAAAATGCAGATTCTAATCCAGTAGGTTGAGGGTAGGCCGGAGGGCCCAGATATCTATGCAGAACTCAGATGATATTTGAAGCTACTGATCTCTGAGCCACCATGTGCATAGCAAACCCCTGCCCACATGCACACACACATACACATACACACAGGTACACTCTATAGCACAGGTTCTCATACTTGGAACACTGGAATCATCTGAAAGATTTTAATACTGATGCCTTGGTGTCACCTCTGAAGAGGTTAACTTATAGGTATGGTGTGTGGCCTGAGCACTAGGTGTTTTTAAAGCTCCCCAAATATTTCTAATGGTCATCCAAGTTTGAGAACTGCTGCCTGACGGTCTTTAATGTACTGTTTTCACTCAGAAAGGTACTTAATTGAGTTGCTCCCTAGCTCATTTACTACTTAACTGCTGAGGGTCTAAGTGCCAGGCACTAGTCTAGACTTTAAGACTCAGGAGTAAGCAAAATAAACAAGATGCTCCTTTTATGGAGCTCAGAGGCTACCAGAACAAAAAGAGTCATTCTCAAATCCCTTGGGATTTAGGCAATTATATTTTATTCCCCTGCCCGACAGATAAAAAGTAAAGAACCTCTTTGGGTACATTTTCCGAGAAAGGAGAACTGAATTTTCTCTGCAAAGGTCATGGGCCACATGAGTATTTATACTGTATGCAGGAAGACATAAATAGTTCTTGCTCAGGTGTGTGTGTGTGTGTGTTTTTCCTGCCGGCCAGGGAAGACTGGCTTGAGCAGGCCAGCTGGACGCTCAGACTGCCAACCCCTGTCAGGTTTCCTTAGAGCTTTCTCATAGCTGCTGAAGCCTGCTTTTAAGGTCAAAACACACAGAATGAAAGCCAAAGCCCTGTTCCACTCCAACTCTGCTATCCCATGTAAGGGACATGTAGTCAGAATGACTTTCTAAAAAGAAATTTGGGCAGAAAAATCACAGAATAGAACAGTAAGATTTAAGGCTGCCCTTGACTCAAACTTTTGCTTTCAGCTGCTCCACTGGTTCACTGAGGGACTGAGCTGGAAAGACCCCAGCTGTTCCTATCCACAAGGGTTTGTCCAGGAAGACAAGGCCAGTGGACACATTTGTTTTCTTTATTTGGGGCACTACAAAAGTCTTTTTTTAATGATTTAAATTCTAGACCTTGCCCTTGCCCACAACAGCTCTGAGCCCTTACCTCTGACTCTCACTGTATCTGTGTGCTCAGGCCAAAAGCTCCGCCCCACTGCCCATGCTTAAGCTTTGTCTTTTCACTAGGAACAAACTTTCCTGGTTGGCCTAGGAAAGACTTCCAAAGACTTTCTGTACTAAAACTGGGACAGTTGGTACCCTTTATTACCCCTGCCCACATGCAGTAACCATCAAGACCCCCGCTGTCGGTGGCCATACTCTGAACTATGTCTACTTTCATCAAGGAGAGATCTACCTACCTCCAGCTTAATTAAACTCCCTCACAATAGCTGAGCGCTAGAAAGCCTGGTATTTCTCCCTTCCTCCACCTTCTCTTCCACTTGCCCATGTCCCCAGTAAGACAGCAGTAAATCAGCAATATGTCCTTGATATTTTCTGGCCCACTGATTCATTCCCAAGGAAGATAAAAATCACCCTCACCTCAGAGTTGTAGGCCATTGGCAAACACAGCCAGGATCCAAATCTAACCACCGGAGCTCTATCCCCACTAGGTAGCCACCACCCCCACTGAGCAGCCATAAACTGGGAAAGTCAATTAACCTGTGAGCTTGCTCAGCCTGGCCAAATAGATTCCAGGACCAGATTAGTTTCTGCCGGGTCTTTAAGTGTAGATCCATTAACCGCTTTTGCTGAATACACACCAGAAATGGAAAGCTCTGCTCCAAGTCCCCAAATGACCTCCATGGCACCTCCCTGATCAACACCAGCTACGAAGCTGAACTAAGGGCCATAGGCTGACCAATCATCCTGACGTTTCTGAACCTTGTCGGGTTTAGCACAAGTCCCACGTCCCAGGAGACCTCTCAGTTCTAGCAAACTGGGATACTTATTTGGTCTATGTTGGAGCTACTCTGACCACAACTCCCCGGATTTCCGAGAGTCCAGCCTACCCCTAGACTGCATTCCTTGCCACATCTCAGCAAGATCACATTCCCTTCCTCACCAGAAAGACAGCAATATGGCTTGGAGCTTATGTTCTCAAACTTGCGACCACCAGCTAGAGAAGTATAATACTAAATGTTTCTTGAACATATTCCTTATGTTACACTTTCAGTTTTTAAAACCTCCCTGGACAGACCTACCCATACAGGTTTCACCTTCCCAACTGTCCATTTACTAGGAAAAACTTAGGAGGCTTTCCACCTTTCCATACCCCTCATCCTGTTTAGGTCCCATCCTGCCCCAGAGCATTTCTGAATGGCTTCCTAAACTAAACAGGGCTTGTGGTTTCTCAAATTGCTCTTTCCACCTCTTGAATCTTACACTGAGATAGCTATGTGAGTCAAAGGCCCTTTTCTTCCCTCTACTTGCTTTATACAGGAGGGCATGAAGACGTCAAGGAAGTTAGCATACTGAGAAAGATGATTTGGAGGCTGGAAGATATGTAACTGCTCAAACAGTGCATCTCAGGAATGAGCTGAGGTCCAATTCAATGGAGCACTGGGCTCTGGGTCCAAGTGCAAAACAAATCCCGCTGGGATGAAAACATCCATGAGGTGACATAAATATCGTCAGTTCCCTCTCCCCTCATCCACAGAGCTTTGAGACGACTTCATCTCGCCTTCTCTTGTTTGAAACTACGCTTTCAAGAGGCATCAGGAACAAGATTACGACCAGGTGGCCAAGCCCAGCCCTCAGCTTCAAAGTGAGACTGTCCTGGTAGAGCCACTAAGGCAGGACTGTGTGAGCCCTGGAGGGAGGAGGCTGGGACCTCCCGTCAGAATGAAAGATCACCCTGAAAAATCTTCAGTCTTGCCTTTTACTACCTCAGCCTTACACCTGGGAAGACAGGTCCCGCAATGGCCTCCAGCAGAGAGTTTGTAGTCTCTTTTTCTGCTTGCAAATGGCCAGCCCTCCTTTTTTCATGGCAGGCCCTTTTTGTTTTTTCTCCCCTCAGATACATGAAAACACTGCAGAGGATATCCCGTCACAGAGTTTGTTTCCTTTAGCAAAAACAAAAGGAAATGCCCTGCCTCAGAAAGCACCTACTCTTGGACCTCCAGGGAGGTAGGGCCAGGCTCATAGAGAGGCACCAGCCAGACTGCCAGGTGACAGGACCAGCCAGGGCCTCTCCCCCGGCTACATGGTACAGAAACAGTGCTAAATTAAAACCTGTTGAGAGAAAGAAGGTCGAACAGAAAATAGAGACAGTTGTATAGATGAGCAGGAAAGCCGGCAGAATAGTCCTGAGATTGCAAGTATCATTTTCCATTTTGACTTCACTTATCAGCCATGTAACTGAGGACAAAGTGCCTCAGTCTCCTGTATAGTAAAGTGAGGACAATCATGGGACTGCTTTCAAACTTGTGTGGATCAGATGAGGAAATACAGTTAAACCCTGAACACAGGGGTTGATACAGAGAGAGTGCTCAGTTAAGGTTAATGTCGGTCTCTATTATGATTAGTCATGAGGAACTGAAGCCAAAGTTCTGACCATTCATCTAACAGGAAACTAGAGTTCACCACCAAGGCACAGAGAGTTGGGAGAGAACTGGATTCAGCTCTCCACTCCCGCTCTTACACTATGTGACTGCGGCAGATTGCTTTCCCTTTTTGATCAGTTTCTTTAACTATAAAAGAGGGATCTTAGTCATCCCACTGGTTGGTTATGAAAAGTAAATAGTGTACATGCGGTGACTAGCACATGCCTGGCTCATAATCAGGATTAGCAAATATCAGAATTGCTATCACTTCCATCAGAGGACAACTCAAGATCTTCCCAAGAGACTAAGTGTACAACTCTCACGGTCATTAAACCAAGCCCTGACCTCTGGCCGCAGGAAAGCCCCTGTGCTAGCCCCCAGGTTCAGCTCCCTAGTGTACTAAATCCTCAGCAAACACTGTCTTCACAGATAACATACAAGCAGCTGCCTCAGTAGACAAGTAATAGCAGGGTAAAGAATCAACAGTTTGATGTAAATTCTTCTTCTCACACTTTTTTTGTTGTTGTTCTTGTCCCCCAAGGTCATCCAGACCTGAGCACAGCTGGGAGTGAGAAGCAGCAGGAAAAGCGTATCGGTATACTGTATTGATTCCAAATAATGACACTGCTCTCAAGGGGCCACACGGTGCCTTTCAGCAGAACTGCTGTACCTGCCAGCCCAGCCCGACTCCACGCTCACAGATGAAGACAGTAGGCCCTGAGAGAGGCTCGCTCACAGATCAGTGGGGACCTGGACAGTCAGCAGAGGCAGCCTGACCACCCAGCCACCCTCCAAGATGAGACCCAAATATGTGGCATCTGCTCAGTGAGGTCTGCCACGGCTGTCCTCATCAAGGAAGTGATGATTGTTTCCCACCTCCTGGGCACCTCATCCCAGCCGCACCACGCCGAAGGATACCTGTTGCTTAGCCATCTGTCTCCAGATAGAGACAGAGAGCCTGTCCAGCACCCTCTTTGTCCATACTGTCTGCTAGGGCTGAGTGGGAGCTCAGGAAACCATGCACTGAGTGAGGGATTGAATGAATAAGACAAGCCCCACACCATGTGCCATGAGGAAGGAGGAGGGACGAGGCAGCCCGAGCCCTCTGCCTCCCGGATCATGCTTTCTTTCCACTGACTACTTAGCAGATCTCAGAGATCTCTCCTCAGAGCAACAGCTGGCACCTACCCCAGGTCTCTAGTCTTGCCAAGCACTCTAGGCACACCCAGGGCAAGATGTACCCCAAACTGCCCTCCTCCTGGGAGAATTACTGGACACTTCTAGGTCAGATTGGCTCGGTTTCTGTCCTACCCCTTACCATGGATCCAAATCCCTATCTGCGGGGCTGGGGATTTAGCTCAGCGGCAAAAGCGCCTGCCTGGCAAGCGCAAGGTCGTGAGTTCAGTTCCTGGTACCGGAGAAAAACCAAAAAAAAA